TGAGAGCGGGATGTTTCTGCTGCACGGTGACAGACTCTCCTCTCATTCGCCTCTCTACAGGAGGACACAGTTACTGCCTCAGCCTCCATTAACAGCAGGGGTAAACAACAAGAATTATCCAGCAGCCCAGGCCCTCAGCACACACCTGCAGATGTAATCAGCGATGATCCACACTCAGCAGCTTTAAGGAAGGGGGACCATCTGAAAGGGAAGCAGGGACGCAGAAAGCCTTTGTAATTACAGTATGTGAGTATCCTGCTTTTAAACCATGGTTTTCTCCGCTTTCCGCTCTCATAAAGGGCTCTTCTTCTGAACAGATTCTACTGATGGGAGGCCCAGAGGGCAGAACATCAAACGTGACATTCAGTGCTTTGTTTCGTTCTGTGACTGCACGCAATTAATCACTGAGACGGTTTTAGTTTTTCTGCTAATTGAGGACTGGCAGTCGTGACACAATAGCTTCTTTGCACGCATTTAAAGGCCACGCAAACACAAATTTTCTTTGTCAGCTTCTCAATAAGAGTGATACAGTAAGACCCAAGATTATTCTTTTTATTATTAGTTTGTTTATTCTGAAGTGGAGCGGGCTCAAAAAAGGAAAAGGGGAAATGTTTAGATCACAGTGGGATAACAGTCGTGGGAGCCGCTGGTTTTCTGTGAACACAAGCTGATCTGATCAAACTGCAACTACACAGTCAGGATGAAGCAGATTTCAGGTGTCACACTCTTCAAACAGATCATTTTTTTACTTTGTTTTCAGTGTTGTCAGAGATATTAAGAGATGTTGAAAAGATGAGAAGTTTTTAGGCTTTGGACATCATTCTCTTCAGGCTGTACATGACCACCTCTCTGTCGCCTTTCATCTTCAACTGTTCTATTAATGCTTATCTTTGAGTAAATGATTTCATAACAGAGACGAGCGAAAACTACCTCTCCGCTTCACTTGATCCCACCTGTTGTGTATCAAAGACAGAGTACTTGTCAGAAAAAAGTATGTGGTAACATTTATGCAAGTGTTGCGCCTGTTTCAGGTCTCAGGTTTGCCAAGCGCAACAGCATCAATAGTTCACGAGACAGCATTTGGGAAATGAGGACAGGCCTGCCATCTGGACATAAATCCCCACCAAACACGTGCCGCTGCAACATTACTTTGTGTCCATCAATCAGCAGTTCACTGTGCATGCAGCTGAGCCTTTGAAAGAGACATGCGCACCACAATAAACCACATGCAGTCATCGTGTGAGATCAGAGGAAGGCAACTTGAAATGTAATTTAAGCAGAAAGGTCTCAGTTAAAATGGCATTTAAGGATCTGCACCAAACACTGCAACTTTCTTATCAGGCAATGCAGTGCAAATACCTCTTTCTCCATCATTTAGAATCGATTTACAATACAGCTGTACTGGGAACATGTAGCTGGAGGACCTGCACCTTTTAGCCCACATTTGCTGTTTTTTTATTCCACACATCAGTGCCAATCCAGTGGACAAATGGATCACAGTAAAGTCTGTGTCTGTAGCCTGAGGAACTCTGGCTAGGAGAGTGACATAGGGAGACACAAGACTTACACATGATGTTTACTTTGTGCATGACTAATCCCTAATGGTCAGGCTGCTATAAATAAAACACTGTGAACCTTTACATCAAATACCAAATATAGAGCATGATGTCATGGAGGGAGATATCTGCTTTGATTCTATATAATATGGAAGCTTAGATCATGATCTGCTTTACAGAAGCAGGTGCTTGTTGTGCCCTGAGGATCTGTATTGTATGAGAAACTGTTTATGTCACCCTCCCCCAGGGATCATGGGGAAGGAAACCCACTGGGACTTGGTTATGTCAAACTATCATTTCTGTGATTTAACAACAGAACACATAGGGCTAAATTGTTCTTGGGTTCAGATTTTGTTCTTAAATACAGTCTGCCCGACACAAACAAGACAACGCATCTACTCTGCTTTCCTGATCGTCCAATTCCAGTCTCTAATTCCTCTGAGTCCATTGCTTCACCTGTTTATGATATACTCAACTACTTTAGTGCAACAGCTACATAATGAAGTTCATTTTAATTTAACAGAGAGAAGCTGACAGAATCAGAGGTGGGTGACATATCCAAATTTTTGTGTCACCTCCAAGGGTCAAGCTTCATACATGACACATTTCCCATGATGCAACTAGAGACAATACTGTGCATACTGTGACTTTTAATGCATCTTCTGTCAAGATGATCCCACACCGCTGCAGTGAAGTTGAAGTCTAGGCTCTGGTAGTGCTCCATTGTGTGTTTTGTTCTATCCAAGTGCACTTTGCAGCATTTACAGTGTGTTTGGGATCAGTGTCATGCTGAACAAAATGATATTGTTTCCAATCTGACATTTTTCACATGGTCTTGCATGCTGGATCAAAATCTGATGGTTCTTTTCTGCATATATGTTTCCATCAATTTCGACATAATTCCCAACACCACCGACTGAAATTCAGTCCCAACCATGTTTTACAGACGACTATAAACACTCTTATATTGCTCCCCTGACCTTAGACATGCATCCCTCCATAAGACCTGTTTATGGATGGTTTTCAGTCTAGTTCTTGTGTAATTTGGCACACACCAGCCTTTTGTCCCTGCTTCCCTTTCTTAAGAATAGTTTTGTGCCGCCACCCTTCTACTGAGGTCATTTCTGAGGAGACGTCAGTGAGGAGAAGAGAGATACATCAACTTAGAGGCCAGATGCATCTCTCATATTCTGTGCCACATCTTCTCTGTTTTGTTTTGTTTTGTTTTGTTTTTCCATTTTATAAGAACATGACTTTCAGATGCTGTTCATCTGCAGTAGATAGATTTTAGGTCTGCTACTATGTAGAATTTTCAGCTAAGAGCTTTGGGGAAACACCTTGTTGCTGCAAAAATGTTATTTTATGTCTGTCACATGGTGTTATCTGTGGTATTTTTCACAGATTCAACCAAAGAAACAGGAACAAATAATGTGTCACAACAGGCTGCTAGTAACAAAGTGCCTAAAGATATAATTTAAAACAGGTTCTTCCCCAGATTTTCTGTTAAGTGAAGATACAACACTGGTTCATCCCTTCAGTTAGGTGTCTTTTTTAATGCCCGAATGATTGACAGGTCAGGTTAAGCGTCTAAGCAAACAAAGAGATAAACAAACTCCTTGGTAGTGGCTTAAAACTTTTTTATGTTAAATCCTGATCATAAAGCAGCCACGCTCATCTATCTCCACTTTCAGTTTGTAATAAAGACAAGTATAAGAAGCCAGAAAAAGACATCATTCAGGTTGTGCAATTTGGGTGGAGTGTCTACTTTAATAAGGCTGCAACGACTGAATTAGTTAGTCAGCAGTGTGTTAAACCATTCGGTGAACTTCCTGGTGAACGGCTCAATGAATTCTTTTGTTTGTTTGCCTATTACAGCGAGCTGAAGCCCATCCTCGCTGTCAGAGGATGGGTACAGCGGAAGCCACTTTACGTATGGACAGCATGGAGGTTAAGGACGAGTGGCAGGATGAAGACTTCCCCAGGTACGAGGCAGAGAAACAAACAGTCTGTGTTTGTGCGTGCAGTTTGTCTGATTTGTGCAGAAGCTTTTTCAAAGAGATCAAGCTTCGATGGAAAGTCTGTCACATGTTGTGTGAGTGCGCGGAGGGCCGAAAGGAAGCAGGTGTGTACTTTCCATGATGTAGTCATCAGGTGTTATGTGATGAGGCTGTAGCAAGTCAGCGAACAAAATAGCAACCAGCAGATGGAAAAAGAGGAGCAGTCAAATACCTCGCAGTGTCCAAGCTATGGGAGACTAGCCACTCGCTCTACTGCTGGCCAAAATCTTTCTTTGACAGCAGGGGAAATATGCTTTTAGAAGCTGATCAGAGAAACCTTCATTATCTTCCAAAAACATCCACACATAGTACATGCAGCAAAGTCCTGTGACTGTCTGAAAAATGCTTTTGTGTCAGAATCACTAATGCGTGTGTTTAATGCATTTAACAAGGCTAAAAATATCTCAGGATGACTTCACATGAATTATGGTGGTGGAATATTAGGTAAGAGAAGTGGAATATTGTGATTCATCTGGGGGGATTTCAGACCTGGAGGTCTGTGTTAGAAGCAAATTATTTAACACTGAAAATTGTTTTTCTCTTCCCTACTGCTTAATTCGCTCTTGAATACTTGTCGGTGCGGTCTTAACCTTGCTTCTACATAGCTACTGACAATTTAATAACAGCAATTATCCAGCAGCTCCATCAGTCCATACTTGTGGTGTTTCAGGGTGTGTTTGTCTGTGTATGCAAGTCTCTGTTATTGCCTGTCTGCATATGTGTGTGCACTCTAATCTAGCCTGCTCAGTCCCTCACCGAGGTTTCAGCTGTCCTATTATAAAATCAGAGGGGAGTTGGTAATTGCTGGTGTTGCTTTCTCAAACGACAGGGTGAAATACATTTAAATCGGGTTTCGCATCGCAGCCTCTCTAAAAACAAAGGGCAAAGAGCAAAATGCTGGGACTGACTGTTAGTACTTCATGGTTTTTTAGTGGTTTTCATCATCGCAGATTATTTAGTTTAACAGTTGTGCTTATAATATACAATTATATAACAGCCAAAACAATCATTACTTGGCAGCAGGAAGACATTAAGCCAGATATAATTCTTATGTATGTACAATTATTTCCAATTTAACTGTTTATTTATGCTGCGTTCGTTTCCCTGCAGGCCACTGCCAGAGGATGGAGATGCATGTGGCCTCTCTGACAGCAGGACCAGTAAGTGGACTAAATAGACACCATTATATTTTTTATACAGACACACTCATGTTTATACGTATACGGTGTATCCATACTTTCATAACATTTTGTCTTAGATCCTCCCACCACTCTGAATGTCGGCGAATCCATGACCCAACGTAAGCGTCGCACGCTGGTCGCCCCCGACATGAACCTGTCTCTGGATCAGAGCGAGGGGTCGGTGCTCTCTGATGACTTCCTGGAAACGCCCGACGACCTGGACATCAATGTTGATGACATCGAGACTCCAGATGAGACTGACTCACTGGAGTTCATCAACAACGGCAACGAGCTAGAGTGGGAAGGTACATGCATGTTCAAATTTAGCATCCAAAAACTTCTATGGGGGAAATTATTAGAACACATAATGAGGACAAATCAACAAACTGTACATAATCTTTCTGTAATGATATAGTTTTATATGGTAGTTGTAATAAACCAGAACAAATGTAGAATAGAGGCACATTTATTTCCGCAAGCTAAAAACAACACAATAACTATTAAACACACACAGTATAACAATGAAAACAATGACACACACTCTAAAAAAGAGGGAATGCTGGGTACTGTCACAAAAGACAAAGCATAACAATAAAACATGATATTACATTGTACTGTGTGTTGATTTAAACAAAGGAGAAAAGCCGAAGAGAGTTAAAAATTAGCCTTAACACCAATTTAAGGCTGGTGGCTCTAACATTATCAATCCTAACTCCTGTGTTGCTCTGGAGCTCTAGCAGTTTTACAGTCTAGTGAGGGGTTACATTTGATCCTTCAGGTCCCAGGTATAAGGGAGGCTTTCGTGTCTGTGCAGTACATGAATGTAAGCACAGTCAGTGATCAGCTCAGGTCCAGATGTTACAGCTTTTTCTAAGCAGTAGTAGCTTTTCGTTCCCCTCTGCAGGGGCTTTTGTTAGGAGCCCTTTGGTGTATCCTTTGCTGCTTCTCATTCTTCACATCTCTTTTAGTTTTTTTTCCTCTGGATTTTCTTGTTCTAAATCTGTGCTTCCAGCTTTGATGGATCGTGCTGGTTTAAAACAAATAGCTGCTGGGTCTGTGTATCCTTTTGGGATGAGTTTTTACCCAGCTGAGCAGGTTTTTTTTGTTTGTTTATTAAATTTTAGCAACGCAAGAAGGTCACATCCAAGGGGAGCAGATATTTTGCTCTCTGGTAACATATTTTTGATCGTGTGCTTGAGCCATGCAGTGACATCAGCGCTTATTCTATGCTCCATTTAAAGGCGTTGTCTCTGTCAGTCATGTTGAGTAGTTGTATTGTGCATTGTTGTTGGTGTGGCCTCTGAGCTGTCTGAACAAGCCAATACCACATATTTAGTATAAAGGTGAGCTGAAGAGTAAGCCTGCATTGTAAATGAGGTGGAAAAATTCAGAATTTCATGATATTTAATTTTACAAAGAAGGGAAAATTTGAATTGCACCAGGTTATGTGCAGTAACTTCAGCAATATTGTTGTTTACATTGACAAATATGGACCTTTTTTGCCTCTGAGGTGGAGCAGGTCAGCTACTAATTGGAAGGATGGTGGTTTTGGGCAATTCCAGTCAGCCAAAGTATCCTCAGGCAAGATGCTGAACCCCCAAGTTGTTATTTGAATGTTAGATAGAAACATTTAGAAGAAGAAAAAGGTGCTTGTATGAATTAGACATGTTGTAAAAAGAGCTTAGAGTACATTTTACGTTTGTATGCTAAATGTCATCATAAATCGTGATTTATAGCTTTGAAAAGGTTCATTTCCCTTTGCCAGCTCTGCTCATGTTGGCTACATGTGTTGTGAGCAGCTGCTTTCTGGTGTCACCTTGTTTTCAGACGACACACCTGTGGCTACTGCTAAGCGTCTCCCAGGTGAGAGCGAAGAGGAGAGAGACTCGTCAGGTCGTCTGTGGCGAACAGTGATCATTGGCGACCAGGAGCAACGGATCGATATGCAGGTCATCAGGCCGTACCTGAGAGTGGTCACACATGGAGGTTAGTTAGACTGTTTCCCCAAATGGATTCCTTAGGATGGTTATGCTATTATAAATCTTATCAGCCCACTTCCTGGTATTAAATGTAAAACGTAGGTGAAATGTAAAAGAGTACAGACACATTTACATGTCCTACCTGCCACGTGATAATTTGCCACTACGAATGGAGCAACTGCATCTCTCTCTTCTGTCAGGATATTACGGGGAAGGTCTGAATGCCATCATCGTGTTTGCAGCCTGCTACCTTCCTGACAGCAGCTGTGACGACTACACGTACATCATGGAAAATCTCTTCCTGTAAGATCCTTTCTTTGTTATCACATGGCGACAACCTTACTTCCTTCTTTTCTCACTCTACAATCCATTAAACGTTTCCAATGTAAAAAGTCTCCTATCCAATGAGGATGTAAAATAATGAATCAAATAATTCTTAAAATTAGAGTGGACCTGTTATGGGTTTTTTTTTTAATGTTATTTAAATCCATACTGTTGTAATGGGAGAGCTTATATTAAAGTTTGAGATAGTGATCCCTGATTTCAGACTGCTCAAAATAGTCAGTTCTAAACGGCTTGTTCTACTCTTGGCGCTGTGTGATGTCAGTAAGAGAGGATATCCTGATATGGTCATCTCAGTCACGCTGCTCTGGCTTTGAGCATGGAAGCCCCGCCCCTTGACCTTAAAGGGAGCTAAAACAGTTTGTTTCTGATGAAGAAAAAACCAGACATCATGTTGAGAACTTGAGCCAGTAAAGTGCCTGAAATCTGTGCCATTATTTCTAATAGCCAGCAGGTGGCACTCCTGAGTTCAGATTCTAGAGAAGAATCCTCTGCTCCTATGACCTCAGTAAATCCCTCCAGTACTGTGCATGAGTTTTGAGTCACCCCTTTCTTCTTCTTTTTTTTCCTCCTGTCTTTTTGCAGCAGTGTAGAAGTCAGAATTGTTGTCTGAAGGCCATAAAATGACAAACAGATTTACTTTCACAAGTGGACCATTACTAGGCATTATTGGCCTGAGATGTTCTAAGAGAGGTAGAGACCTGACCTGACACACAAAGACAAACAGGACAACACAAGCATGCATTCCCACCCTCATGCACAGGTATACAAACACTCACACACACACCCAACATGGAGACACAGAAATGGACGCCGTACACATACTCACACTCCCCATACACTCCCAGGTCCTGGAACCAACAACCCGTAGAAGGGCAATCAGCCCACAGACCCAGGAGATGGTCTCCTTCACTCTGGGATGGAGACAAGTAGACTTCCCTGGCCTCCGCAGCAGCAGAGCAGCCCAACAGCCTCATAACCCTAACCCAGACCCTGACCAGACAGCCAGCTCTTCCAGCCCTGGATAGCGAACAGAGAACGGGAGTGTGTGTGCTTCACTCCGCCCGAACTATACCCACCCCAGCATTCAGGCAACTACCAGACTACATAAGCCAATAAAAACCCAGGTTAAGAGTTAGCTAAAGAGGCTCCTCGTTCCACCAATACACCCAAGCCCCCAGGTCCAGCCAAAACCCCGCCCAGAGGTACCCAAGTCCCCAAGCCTGCCCCAGACCCACCCAGGAGTAACTACCAGACCGGTAACATTTGTTTGCCAGCACAGACTACCCAGCAGCGCCACACACAGACACCAGAAAACACCCCCTTAAAAAGGGGTGTTAAAGTATGATATGGATCGGGGAAGACCGTGGCAACATGTTTGGCTTCAAAACATGAAATGGTGATGCCAAAAATACTCAGCCTAAAGCTTCAAACAGGGCCTCACTAATCAAAGTGTAACATCCTGCAGGTACAGTTTATGAGATGAACTAGAGCTGGAAGTGAGTTTAATGGATCCCCCTTTAAATGAAAGATCATTTTATCTCCACAAATAAAATATCAGAACTCTTTTTCATCATAAATCAAATGAGGGGATTTTATGTGCTATTTTCATGTACAGTTATAGGTTGTTCATGTCTGTTCTCAGGTATGTTGTGAGCAGCCTGGAGCTGCTGGTAGCAGAGGATTACATGATTGTTTACCTGAATGGAGCAACTCCTCGCAGAAAGATGCCTGGCATCAGCTGGCTGAAGAGATGCTACCAGATGATAGACAGAAAGTAAGATGAACAGTGTCAAAATAACTCGGAAAACAATTTGGGAAATTAGAAGATAGTGAAGCTGAAGATGTTCTTGATGCTAGAGATGAAGATAACCAATATACATGGGATTTCATGCAGTTAAAAGTTATAATGGGGATTGTAATAAACTCTGTTTGTTTCCTGTAGACTGAGGAAGAATCTAAAGTGTCTCATCATCGCTCACCCAACATGGTTCATCCGCACTGTCCTGGCCATCTCAAGACCCTTCATTAGGTATATTTATGACACATTTGGCCGTGAAAGCTTGTCTCTTAACAAATCTAAAAACAAAAGAGAGAAAGGGGAAAATAGGTTGGAGCATTTTAAAGTTGTCACATCGCTACACTGAAAACATTAAAAAGAGAAAAGTGTTGCTGTTTCATAATCAGAGTACGTATGTTGTGCTACGTGGCTGAATGCACATATATTTTAGGATTAATTTGTGACAGTAACCCAATGTTGTTTATATTTTTTGAAGTGTGAAGTTCATGGATAAGATCCGTTACGTTCACACCCTGAAGGAACTCGGTCAGATTATCCCCATGGAGCACGTGCAGATTCCTGAATGTGTGCTGCAGTAAGTACTCTCAGCCACCAAGGGTCCCTGTTGAGATGCTTCAAGTGTCTTTCATAGCTTATACTCTGCTTTGCAAGCTTACAGCAATATAGTCAGCTCCATAAGTATTTACTACTGAATGCAAGACTCAACTCCAGGTCTGTTATCTGCTTAATTTGTTATGGAATAAAGAGGGAAGAGGTCACGAAACTGTTGTTAGTCTATTGTTCAGTCACCACTGACTCTCTGACAATTAGGGAATATATAAAAATAGTTTTTATTCCTAATCTATTTTTGCAATACTTTTGTTTAATTCCTTGAATTAAAGTTGAAAGTCTGCACTTTGGTCACATCATTAATGTTTTTTTGTGATATGATGTCCAGAGGCAAAATTACAAAACATGCATCATTGTCCAAATCCTGACATCTTGAAAGAATTCAAACAGTCCAACAGTGTTTATGGATAACTAAGACTGATATACAGTTTTTCACATTTGTTTAAATGTCTGCTTCTCACTGTTTACTTAGATGGACTTGTGCAGACGAAACAGCAGGTGATTAAAATAATATTAATATTTAAAAAACACTTTATATATGCAGCAAAGTTACAACGTGCCTCACGGAAAGAAATTAAAAACATATAAGAAATCCAACATGAGCTTTACAACTCTGAGTAGGCATTCACTTTTTATTTTTTTTGTTTATTATGGCAAACTGTGCAAGAGTGCTCAAAACTGAATTATGGCAGACTGATTTTAAAACAAATTCAAAAGATGATTGAGGCTTTGGAAGAACTGCAGTGCATAGTTAAACAGAAGAAACAGAGCCAACATCAGACAAACTTTTCCACTGTCGTGTGCAAAAGAAAGTCTCTGTGGAATCTGTGGAAAACCAAGTGCACCTTTACTGCTTCCATAGAAATTAATACATGCTGCTAATCAAATGTTAACACAACCCCACAATCTTCCCATGCAATGCTTAGAGAAACTGCAAAAAACCCAAGAGTTACATATCGGACTCTCAAGGCTTTGGTTAGCATGTTAAATTTTACCTTTCATGACAACACAAATAGAAAACGATTAAATAAGTGTTGCTTGTTTGGAAGGATTCCAGGGGAAAGTTTCGGACAGATTAGACCAAATGTCCGTAATACACAGCACCACATTTCAATAAAATCAAACACCACAAATCAACTGTCAAGCATGGTGGTGGAGGTGTGATGATTTGGGTATTTTGCACCTTGTAGCCATTAAGTCAGCTCTGTATACCAAAATATTCTAGAGTCAAATGTGAGGCCATCTGTCTGACTGCGAAAGCTTGGCCGAAACTGTGTCATGCAGGAGGACAGCGATCCCAAGCACAGCAGCAAATCTTCAACACGATGGATGAAAAAGAAAAGGATCGAGTCCAGACCTCAACCTGATGAAATGCTGTGGAAGGACCATAAGAGAGCTGTCCATACACAAATGCCTTTAAACCTCAATGACATGAAGCAACACTATAAAGAAGAGTGAGCTGAAATTCTGCTTCAATTATGTGGGAGAATGATAAAGTCATACAGAAAATGATTCGCTTAAGTTATTGCTCCTAAAAGTGCTTCTACAAGTGACTGAATTTTATCTCAGGACTGCAGATTCCTTCAAAAGCCTTCTCTTTAACATGTCTCTGCATATGAGCTTCATCAACACAGAGCGATGAACTTTTAACTTCAGCACTGGTGAGAAGGATGTTACAGAACTCCTCATCATTCTGCATTTCTATCCCCTTTTCTTAAAGGTATGACGATGAGAAGATCAGAGCACAAAAGGAAAGGTGAGTCACATGTTTTCAAGTGATTTTATATTAAAATTTCTTTGTTTACACATGCTCATTTAAACATGCATGTTACTACTATGTGCCTCTCCCCCAGACTTGAGCAAGACCAGCAGCAGAGTAATTCAACACTCCCCAAAGAAAGGTGACCCAATTTTGTAGTACATACAGTCCTACAGCGCATGCAGCTACAATATGGAAAAGTACTCATATATTGTTGCACTTAAATCCCGTGGCTGCAAGAAGCCACTGATTTTATATTTCATCTGTTAGAGCAATAAAAATAAAACAACTTCCTCCATTGGCATGAAGAGCATATTATGTAAGAGGTTCACCAGCAAATTGATCAGTGCGTTGCTTCTCTTTAATGTGATGTGAATGCTTGAACTTCTGCAGACATATAGATTGATTAAGCAACACAGCCTAACATGGTTTAGACGACCAGGCAACATATTTATATTTGTTTATCGTCAATTTTAATCTGTTATTTCCAGGCCGAAGTCAATGATAGCAGAGGTTGGCCGTGACATCTGACATTAAGGTAAGGGACTCATCCATCTGAGTGCCTCTACATCAACTCTTCAGGTTGGTTTGTAATGTCAGCCCACAGTAATTAATCTTCGACATACATGGAAATGTTCTTTTCTGCACATATCTGCTTACGTGTGCTAAAGAGACACGATACAGTAAATCACATGCTGGACGATGGCCTGTCTTGGGCCCAAAGGATCAGCTTTCTGTTCAGTGGTGTGGGATCCAAATTTTACTATGACACACTCGAAGATTTCCAATTCCTTGAAACTGTGCAGTCTCTGTGCAGTGCAAAAGACAACAATCATCCGCTTTATGCTGAGTTTGATGAGGTGTTGATCTAAAAATGCAAAAATCGCGCTTCAGTTTCCTTCCAGGTTTCCAATTCTTCTCTGAGAGTGCTGGACGCTGAACAGGAACATGTCATACACTGCTGACTGACTTCTGTCACTCACCCCGTCCAACTCATTTTCATCTTTGCCAAGTCATGTTTAACTTCTTTAAATTCCGACTGTGCATGGATCCAAGAAACGTTAATCAATCCTCAAACATCACCCCATGTTACATAAAGCACAGCTGCTTGTCTCTTCAGGCCTGCCTGCGTGCAACCAATCAATTCTATTTTTATTGGGCAAATTGATCTGCCCCACCGAGCCTGTCATTAACTGGGTGAAATGCCCACCACAGCCAGCCGGGATGGGTTAGGGCGGGTGAAGTGGATTATTTTAGAAACTGTCCCCGGCTGCTGACTGTTCCTATAGGCCCTCATATATCAAACGAGATGCCAGCCAGTGGACTGGCTGACATCTCGGGAATGGACACGGGGACTGTCCCCTAACTAAATGCCAGCACAGGAAGCAGGGGGAAAAAATGAATGGTCAAACCTGATATGTGTCAAGTAGTTTAGATTTACTGCCGCTCACTGACACACTGCCAATTTTAACAACTGCATTACATGAAACTTTGTGACTGACGGGATTAAAGTGAGACTTAAACTTTCTGTATTTGCCTTGCAGAGCTTTAAACTGAAGAGCCCGAGGGGGGGTCGTAAAAACAGAAGCCCACAAGCTTCTCAGCTGGGATTATATCCCCTAAATGGATCTGTTAGCCAGAGGACAATCATTCCTCAATATTCCTCTTGTTTCAAGTGACACGCTTGCTTCTAACAACTTAAGGTTCAGTTACACCAAAGCATCGCAGCTTAGTTAAATCAAAAACTGTCCTGCATGTCAAGTTGACCTTTACCTACAGCATGACTTTGCCTATGTGTGAATGAAAAGACTTGCCGGGAGCATTTTGTACATATTTGTAATATATTTTTGAGAAAAAAGTGTTTGCACACAGACGGTGTTGGTATTGTTTGGTTTATTGGCTATTTGCTGAAAAAAGAAGTGCAATGATATCGCTCCTCCTAAATGTTTCTGATGCAAAAAGTGTGTTTTCAAGTTTTCCGGAGTTGATATGCAGGTGCATGCTTGTTTATATCCTTCCTGTCTTTGTTACATTTGTTAAGTTTCAAAAAGTAATTTTGCAAGATGGGAAGAAACATTGTTACAAATGAAAAGAATTCTATTTAATAAGAGAGTTAAAATGAATTGCTTAGTGTTATTTATGAAAACGTGCCATTTACTGTTTGTAAAAAAAAAAAATGTAATAAATGAGTGATCTAAAGTTTTGTCATGATTATTTGTCCCCCGCATTCAGCCTTAAGTCCTAAAACAGAAGAGAACAAAAGCACAGACTTGTCATGTACGTTGCAGCTGATATTTCATCCTTTATTGCAGCTGCGTGTTTTCATCTCGGTCCAGAATGTTTTTGGCAGTTGAGTTTAACGGGATAATCGTCAGTGGATGTCGGTGGATGTCACCTGACCGTCCTGTGCTGCGTTTTATGGAGGTCTTAATGCCCTTGGAGTAACCCGTTTCTGTTTATGTACACAATACATAACCAATTAGAAACTGAACTTTGCCCTGCATTTTTTATTATATTTTAATCATGTTCTATTGTGTAATTCAATCATTCAGATGTGAAAGAGAAACAGCTGAGTTAAATTATGATTATATTTAATATGTACTCTTAATTGTTATTTAGTTTTATAAGAATAATCTTGCCTTTTGAAATATGGATTTCATTCCATGAGATTGGAATAAAGAGACGCCTGACACACAAAGGCATGACCATAACACATTTAGATTTTGTATTAATACTTGAAGCACCAGGAAACAGCCTGCCTCTGTCCAAAGTTCACCACCACCTCTAAAGCTGACTGAATAACTGCTGTATGCAAACAAATCTATATTTGGAAAGAGTTTTTGACCACTGATTTTGGGATGAAACGATTTTCCAGATCCATGTTGTCCAGAAGGAGTTATGCAACATCCT